TGCCCTGGCTCTGGACTAAGTGGCATTCAAGGCCTTTGGGATGAGCCAGAGGGATGACAGACAGCAAGGGTATTAGCCTAACTTCTGCATGAACCTTGGTGCTCCCACCTGCCCCTTCCCTGGAGTCATCACGGGAGGGATTCTGGATGTTTCCCCAGGTCAGGGATGGGCCGGCTTCTTTCCATGCAGCCTCCTGAAGGGCAAAGCCTCTGCTGCCCGGTACTGTAAATCCTGAGCTTCAGGATGAGGCCTCCTGAGCTTGGGGAAAGGTAGCTGAGGAGAAAGGGCCCTGTCTCACCTTTTGTTTACCTTTAGTCTGGCTGGATGTAGCTGCCCTCCTTAACTTCTAGTTTGCTAAAGTCCTTGTTGCCTTAATGACCACCTAATAAGCAGGCAGATGTCCCTCCAGGCATCCCCTGGGAGCCTGCCCGTCTCCCCAATGCCAACCATCATCTCTAAAGCCCAAGGTCTGTTTCTTGCTGACAAAGCAATGTTCCCAGGCTAAGGACAAACTCAGGACTGCTCAGGTGGAAAAATCTGGCCCGTTGGGACCACGGCCAACCCAACTCCATCCTCTGGAGTTGGTACGCTTCAGATCTGGACTCCTCCCCTCCTCCACCTGTACCCCTCACCCAGAGACCCTTCACCGCATCATGCTCAGTGCTGTTCCTGAAGACCATCTAGAATTTTTTTTTTCTGGAACATTCTACTCACCTTCAGCTGCAGCATATTCCTTCAGCCTCTCCACCAAGCTCTTTAAGTGAAAGGCAGTTGCTGTCTTCCCTTGGACAATAATGAATGTATCTATTGTAAGTGCAGACCACGTAGAGAAGTATCTGGGTTTAAAAAAAAAAGAGGGTTTTTGTAAAGCCTGTTTATTTTTTTAAGTCAGTTTTGAGCATTTCTATTTTCCCACCCTTCACATGGTTTTGGGGAACCCAAATTGTATCAAAGGTCTCATGCCAAACAAGCCAACAGTTGTTTTCTTTACCTTTTTCCTCCACCGCACCATGATTTCAATGATTGTTTCGGTGTCATTTTAAATGTTTTCTTGTGACATGTACTGACGATAAAAGTCATCTTGACAAAAAAAAATTTATACATGAATCAGAAAGTATTTATTTCAATTTTGTACCTTTCCATTTTAATACATTATAATGTATTGACTCAACTGAGATAATATAAACAGTTCATTTTAATAACAGCCATGTGTGTGCCTTTTCCTGTGTGTGGGGGTGGGTGGCTGGACAAGTGCTGTGGGGCCTCATTGTGAGCCGAGGGTCAGCTCTGCTGCATCTGGGCTTCTGGGTCTTGGAGTTGGAATCAGCTAGAGCCAGGAGAGGAAGAGATAGTGAAGGAGGCATGAGGAGCTAAGGGCGTGGCCTGTGGGCATCAAGCATCTTACAAGCCATACACTGCCCGCAGTCCCCTCCCCGCCTCAGCACAACAGCCATGTAGACAGTGGAACTTGTCATTCCTGAAGCCTAGGTATGGGCTGGCAATCACAGACAAGCCTCAAAGAAGCTAAGAAGAAGCCAGAAAGGAAAACTCTTGAGTGGTCAGCTTTGGGGGTACAAACCTATAATCACTTTTCCCTAAGAGGAGAGGTAGGAGGATTAAGGTCTGAGGCTGGTCTGAGTAAAAGCACAAGATCCTATCTGGAAAACAAGTTAGAAGCAAAGGGGCTGGAGTGTGACTGAAGTGGAACAAATGCCTGCCTGCAACCTCAAGGTCCTGAATTTAAACCCCAGTACCACAAAAAGATGGGGTCTGAGGGAGGATGGGAAGAGGCAACGAAGCTTTGGAAATAGCTATATCTATAGATACCTTTCCCCCTAATTGTTTCTGCTAAAATCCGTCAAATGAGTCCCTGGAGTAAACTGTCTTCAAGCCTCCATGACAGACAGCAAGAAAAGTCTCTTGTTTCATTAGGATTGATTCCTTTTGCTGTTAGGATGTTAGGGGCAAAACAAGAGGCTAGAGTCCTATTTGTTCTAGATGTGTGGGGGTAGGAAGGGAGAAGGAAGAGTGAGAGGAAGGCTCAAGGAGAGTTATGTTCACAAGGCTTTATTTCAAGAGCATGCATGGTGGATGGGTGGTGGCCACAGTTGTGGGCATTATTTTCTTCTCTGCATGTGTGGACAGCTTTCATTTTGAACTGCTGTTCTGCAGGAAAGAGGAGGAAGACAGCTTAAAGGGACCTGTTTTTATATCAGCTTGTCTTCCAGGGGAGGAGAGGAGACAGGGAAGTGGGGGAAGAGGCCTTCCTTTATCAAGTGGAAGAATCCAGAATGCCAGGAGGAGAGGTAGCACATCCATTTGATCCATTTCCCTTCATGTCCCTGTGCTACCCCTCCTCCCCTTCCCTCTCCCCCTCCTTCCCCACCCAAAACACACACACATTTTTAACTTTGTATCCCTGCCTTCTCACACTCCCCTCTGGAACAGGTACCTGGAATTCAGGCTGGTGTTTGTCAGGAGGAAGGTAGCTGAGGAGAACTGCTTTCCCTACCAGAATCCTCTATATGAGCATGTGATCCTGGCCAGGGGACTGACTATCCAGTTATTTCAAGTTGTAGGTCTGTATTTTAGAGAAGAACCAATTGCTAATTGCATAAAAGACTCTTCATTTCTATGCAGTAGCAAATCTGGGAAGAAACAGAAAGCTGTCTATCATTCCCAAATCCCTTTTCCAAAAGTTAGTGAACTGGTGGGTGATCTTGTAGTGGAGCTAGCTGTTGTAAGGAGGGTTTGGGTTTTGAAATTAAATGGTGTAGGAGGCTCTTATGGATGATCTTAAATGACTTAATTTTTCCTACATCTAGTGTATTTACTTTAAAAATACTCTCCTCAAAGGCAATGATAGACGACCCTCTCCTGGATTTTTTTACCTGTGTCTGCCTTAGTCCATTTGAGCTGCTGTAGCAAAATACCATAGACCCAAGTGGCTTACAAACAACAGAAATTTATTCCTCATAGTTCTGGAGCTGAGAAACCAAGATGGAACTGCTACCAGATTCAGGTTCTGGTGAGGGTGGCTTCCTAGTTCACAGATGGCCAACATGTTGCTGCTTTCTTATGTGGTAGAATTGTCTCTTCCCAAGGAACAGCCCAGGGTGGCTCCTTGGAGGAAGTTTTCTCTTGCTCACCAAGTTCAGGCTTAAATTACCATCAACCAACATTAAGGTGGAAGATTGACAGTTGGGTAAGATACAAATGAAGAATGTTGACAAATGTTCTCACCTGAGAGTTAATCCCCTGAGACCAGGAGTTGTATTTTGAATAGCACAGAACATTGTCACATCATGTGAGCGGAAATTGGCACTGTTGGTCTCAGGATCTCCTTCAGTTGCCCCTTATTTTCACAAAGATTAATTTACTTTTTATCAGTTTACCTTTTATCACCCAAACTAGTTACTACTCCAAGCAAAACAATGCAGTGTTCTCTCTTGGCTGGGGCCTTTAAAACTGCAGACTTGTAGTGATTTCATATTTTCTTCTATGTCTTTGCCCCCAAATGTGCTCCACAATTATCCATAAACAGAGGCAAAAGGCCCTTGTCAAGGATGTTTTCAAATGAAGAAGGACAAGGGGCGATGATGCTGTGATGTATGATTCATCAATGAGGGTACCCACACTGTCATTGTTCTCTAATGACTATGTAGGGGGGACCCTTCCCCCCCACTGTGTTCTCTCATTTTAGCTTAGAACACTGAAAGGAGCTACTCTCACAGGTCCCCAATCATCTGTTTTGTGATCTAGACCAAGATCGTTGGCTCAGGGAAAGGAAAGATGAAAAAGCATTTGGAGGATGCCTTGGTTAGATCTAGATGAGCAGTCACTGCTATCCTGTTTGCTCCCCCTTGCTTGTTATTTATAACTGACATAGTCGATTGCTATTACCCTCTCATCTTATTCATAGGCACTGAAACCTCAACAAAGCTAGCTGAACTTTCTTCCTGGCAAATGGGAGTAAGGCCTAGTTCTCACCAGAACAAACTAGGGACAAAGGGGATGGGGGGGCTGCAGCTCTTCCCTCACCATTGCCAATGGACTGTATCAGGCATTCACATCACTACAACCTCACTGCATGCCCCTTCCTAGAAGCAAAAAGGGATACCTTGACTATGGTGGTCTAAAGGAACCCTGCCGGATCTAGTCCTAGAAACGGGAGACTAGCAAGAAGCATCCCTGAGGCAGATTGGGCTCGAGTCAGAGCTGTGGGTGGCATGGCTGCCACTACTGAAATGTGGAAGAAGCTGAGGTCCAAATCCAGATTTGCTCCGGGGAGCACCTGCAAGCAGGGATCAGCCAAACCACAACAAAGATGGCGCCCTTGAAGGGAATGCATGAGGCTCTAGGGAGGAGAGAGCAAACAGGCATCTTGGGTGATAGCAGAGGCTGGCTGTCTGGAGGCCGAGGGAGGGAAGCAGGTGACACAGGAAGCACGCAGTGAACGCCAGGTGTGGCAGGCAGCAAGTGCACAGGGTCTGGAGAAGGCCTCGGGGCTGGAGTGGATGCGTGGAGCGGCTGGCGTCCCAAGGCCTTCACTCCCGGGAGACTAGCGCGGAGGTAAGACCTTCCCACTCGCGGTGCCAACCTGCCGCCTTGTGAGCTGAGTGTGAATGCACACGTTTCCTCCTCAGGGCCCTTTCTCTCTCCTTCCTTCCCTCCCTCCCTCCCTTGCAGAGGGAACTGGTAGAGCATGAAGAAAAGAGAGCACAGTGCCACGTCTCTCCTTCTTTGTCCACACCGTCCATATTGCCCGAACGACTCTAGGGACGCCCTCCCGCTGGCCCACAGACTCCTGTTCCTAGTTAGGCCTTGAGGGCCAGGAGAGGGGAGGCCACGCCCCGAGCGCCACGCGCGCAAACCAATGACTGGAGACGTCTCCTCCCGCCCAGCCTAGAGGCTCCGCCTCTTCTGTTGGCCCCGCCTCCGCTCGCACGTGGGCAGGATCCCGTCGCGCGCTGCTGACGTCTTTAGCGGGCGCCCCAGGCGCAGCCTTTTGCCCTCGCGCGCCGGGCCGTTCCAGGCTCTTCCTGCCCGGCCGCCTCGCGAGGTGCGAGCGCCCCAGTGTCCCCACCATGTCCATGCTGGCTGAGCGTGAGTGTCGGAGGCGGAGGCCGGAGCCGGGCGTGAAGGGGAAGGTGCCGGGTGACGCGGGCCGCCGGCGCTCCGTGGGGCTGGGTGGGCTGGCGCTTCGGGGCCGCGGCGACGGCGGGCGCGCTCGGCCTCCCACCGGTGTTAGCCGCGGTCCGGGGTGAGAGCGGGCGCCTCGAGGCTCGGCCTTACTCTCGGACCCTCCCCGGCTCGCGGCTTCCTCACGTTCGGAAGAGGCCGGAGGCCGGAGGGATCGCTTCAGGCCGCCGGATCCTATGGTGGAGGATACACGGGACCCAGAGAGAAAAAGGAAAAGATGAGGAGCAGCAAGCCCAGGACGTTAGCCTTGGTGGGGGCCGGCGCGGGCTGAACGAGTCTAGAAGGAACTCAGTTGGAGTCCTTCCCTTACTAGGCCGTTGGCCACCACGACCCCTCCAACGTCTGTCTGCCTTTGACATCTACTGTCCTTATTCTATTCTTCCTGGGGAGGTGGTTTTACTTATGAATGAGACCCAGAGGTAAAGTTGCCTGCCACCAGATGGCAGGCGTGACCCGGTAATAGAGTTGGTCGTTTACTTTGCAAGTTGTGTAGGATCAGTAAATAAAAATCGCATTTTTAACAGATCAGCAAGGACTGCTCTAGGATTCTGCAGGATAAATGTTAACAGCACCCTTTTTCTGTGGAGGACCATCGAGGCCTAGATGAAGCTCACAATGAAATGAGGCATCATCCCAGTTTCACCGAGGCAGAACTTAAAGGCCAGAGAAAAATCATTTGCTCCTAGTCATTGTGCAAGGAAATAGTATTTCTGTGTCTTTACATTTTTTGTGTCCAAGAGCAGCATATTTTCTGTTGCTTTTGGGACAGTTGTGTCCCAATTGGAGTGAGATTAGCCCTGTCATAAGGCACAGGATGTCATGCATTAGAGGGATTGAAAAATGAAGATGCGTGCAACTGTTGTTATCTTGCTAAAAGACACTGAGGCAAAGACCATGCCACTGGCCTCCCGTGGTGGGGGTTGGATGTGACATTCATAATCCCTTCAACAAGGGAGATACAGGGAAAGCAAGTGTTCACATCAGCAGCATAGAGCATATCGTTTGTATGAACAGACACAATGAGCTACTCATCCCAATTCTGAGAATGGTGAGAACTCTCCTGAAATGCAAGTTCTCAGCCTAAGGCCAGCTTGTCAGCAAGTCTTTGAAAGGGTAACAGTCAGGCTGCTGAGAGCTCTTCTTGGCAAGGGTAATTGGAGCACAGAATGGACTAGGACAGGTGTGTAGCTTTCCATTGCTATGACAGATTTCTTATAGGAAGTGTAGTTAAGATAAAGGAAAAAAGATTTATCTTAGCTCGTGGTTTCAACCCATGACATTATAGCCAAGACATGTGCTAGATCCATATTCTTGTTCTATAAACTTGGATTCACTCTTTGTGATAGTTTTATTAAAACTGTAGTGATAAGCTTGGCATCCTAATGGCCAGTTATTTCTATACATTTAAGTACATTTAAGATAACCTTTTTTTATTTTTTGAGATAGAGGCTTGCTATGTAGCCAAAGCTGGCTTCAAACTCCAGGAGATTCTCCTGCCTCAGCCTCTGAGTGCATGAATTACAGGTATATACTACCATACCTGGCTTAGAAAAATACTTTGAGAGACTTGAAGCAGTTCTTTTAATTCAATTATATTTCTTCTCTCTTTTTCCTCCTTTCGTTTTCCTCCCTCTTCTTTTTTTCTCACTCATACCTTCATGAACATTTTTATTGAGTGCTTGGCTCTGGGCAAATGGGCCATGTCTAAGTAAAGGATGAATATGACACTTAAGGACATTATGGAGCCATAGGAAACATAAAAGACAAATATAAATAGCCCCAGTGCAGTAGAATGTTAATGAAGTACCAGAAGAGAAACATTTACTCTATTGTGAAGTTCAGCTACTAGATCATAGCATGTAGGACATTTTGAGAATAGGGATGGTGCCATATCTGTAGATCATGAAGAGAGACACAGTTGACTCTCCCTAAGATCATAATGACTGTTACAGAAGAGGAATTTAAGCTTCGAAGTTAGAAAGACTTTGGTCTCTATAAAGGGTATGGATTTGGGGATATTAGGCAGAGTTCTTTACGCCTGAAGTTTTCTTATAGGCTAGGTAGAGATAAGAACATCTGCCTTCATTGGGCTTCTGTGAAAGTGAAATCTAATATACATTTGGCACATAATGCAAGATGATGAGAGTTGTGGCTGCACAGTGATGCTGCTGCTGGCATGGACAAGTGTATGTGGTTGCTTCCCATAGTGAAATGTAGACGGCCCAGTGGATGGTGTATTGAGTATTTTGTCACTTTAGAGGGGAGACTTTCATTTTAATCTTTAAGATCAATTTCTATGTTAAGAGTATGTAGTTATTGCTAAAAGGAGAAATGGCCCTACCTGTTAGTCCCCTGGATATATCATTGCAGGTATGTATACATTACCCAGGCTTGAAAGATAAATTCCTGAAGAAGTACTTTTTTATTTATAGGTCGGAGGAAGCAGAAATGGGCTGTGGATCCAAGAAACACTGCCTGGAGTAATGATGACTCTAAGTTTGGCCAGAGAATGCTAGAGAAGATGGGCTGGTCTAAAGGAAAGGTATTTTAGAAAAAAATCCTCTGCCTTGTCAGTAGAGTTTGAATTGAGAGAAGTTGTCTTAAGACTCTGGGAGAAATTGATGTTTTTAGATCAGTAGCTGAGTTTGAATTGTAGTGGCTAGATGGTGAGAAAATCAGAATTAACCATAAATGCCACCTCTTTTGGCTCATCCTTTAAACTTCTATGATTAATGACTTTCTTACACATTGCTGTGTAATCTCTTAAATATGGAATCATATGTAGTCATCAGAGTTTAACGTTGCTGAGAGTCACATTTGTTTCCGTGTCACCAGACTGCATGTATTTTCCCCATTCTTTTGCATTCTACTACAGCCCTACTGTACCAGTAGGGCTTTCTTTTTGACCTCATTAGCTCTTTCTTTTTGACCTCAGCATCTTCTCCTGAATTATTTGCTGTCTCTTCCTCCTCCAGACTTTTGAGCTTTGGAGGTTCTTGGGGTCCATTCCCAGATTCTTGTATACTGTGCTTGTTGTTGTGAGTTGCTTTAGATTCTGTTAAGTCTAGAAACCTTTGCCTATTTCTACTCTAGTTCTGCCCTCTAAGCTCCAGATATGTAAGTTGATTAGCCTTCCTGGGTTTTCTACTTCGTGAACATTGCTTTCATATCTTCCTTTCTAGCTTTTCCCAAGTCTTAGAAATAATACAATCTACCTACATATTCTAACTAGACACCTTGGACTCATGCTAGTCTCCTCAGCCTCTCTGTTTCTGCCTCCTGGTCACTATTCCTGTCTTTCTAGACCACTGCCCTTGTCCTACCTCTGTCCTTGCCTGCAACTCCCACTCCTCCTTCCCTGCCTTCTTTTCCTCCTCTGGTCTATTTTGTCATACAACTAGAATGACCTTTCAAAGCAGAAGGGAATTAGATCATGTTTTTCCTTTGCTTTAGATTCCAGTGGTTTCCAAGGATTTTTAAAACCTAAATATCTTATGTCCTCTTATTCTCTTATTTTCTGTGTTCCCTTTAAGGCCCCCTTTGTGTCTTCCACATCCTTTAGTAGCCCAAGTCCTTTCCCATCTTCACTGCTCGCACTTGCTGTTCTCTTTACCTGGAACTTTATGAGTGGTCTTAATTGCTGCAGAGAACTGTCTTGGTGTCGTGCTGTATCATTAAGTAAAGGAGAGAGCCAGGTGCTCAGAATACCTACATGGGCTTCCATTCATTTTGCAACAGCATTGCTTCAGCATCAGCAAGAGGTGCATTCTCCATAGTGTCTGCCTGGGCCTTTGATTTGTTCTTAGGTTTAATAATTACTATTCATCATTTTAAATATATTCTGTTTCTACAGACATTCTAAGAATCTTCTGGATTGTGTCCTCTTTGAAGGCAAGGATAATACCTTACCCTAGATGTTTAGTAAATAAACAGTAATGGGGAGGCATCTTTTTTTATTCCTGATAAAAGTTCTGATTCTGTGTTTAATATCCACAGGGTTTGGGGGCCCAGGAGCAAGGAGCCACAGACCATATTAAAGTTCAAGTTAAAAATAACCATCTGGGACTTGGAGCCACAAACAATAATGAAGTGAGCAATGGTGCATGATCTGAGTGTTCTCTTTCCATAATTGATGTCGGTCTTGTAAATGTCAAACTTCTAATGCAGTCAAATAGATTGGGCAGTTGCAACCTTGGCTATTCCCCGAAACATGCCACCCCTTGCCTTGCCTGCTGTCCTGGTGGGGTCCTTTACTTGCTTATGCCTAAGAGATCTAAACTGTTGTTGCTAAGCTTTGTAAAATGTTTTTTATAAACATGTTCATTTCAAGGCAGAAAGGAAAATCTCTCCCTGTATTCTAATACGTTTATATTATTAGAAGTTGGTGGCATTTAGTTTTAAAAAGTATTGCAAGGAAGTACCTCAGGCTGGTATGAGTGGCTTATGTCTGTAATCCTAGCAATTCAGACTGAGATTCCAACCTGGATAGAAAAACCCATGATGTCGATTCTGTTTCCAAAATAACTAGCAAAAAACTGGTTTGGAGGTGTGGCTCAGGTTGTAGAATGCTAGCTGAGCAAGTAAAACTGAGTGTGAGGCTATGAGTTTAAACCTCCAACAAAAAACTAAGACAATACTTAAAGTAATGTTCTTTTCTCTCGTTTATAACTATTGATTTATGTTTCTTGAATTTGTTAATTTGTATTTAAAAAATTAGTGGCCCACTAGCAGGGAATGTTCCTGAGTAGTTGAATGTTCAAGGACCTGGATTTCATCTCCAGCATTGCCTCTGTCCCCAGAAGCCACTAAAACCAGAAGCCAATCAAAGAAAAAGTTAATGCTTCTATTAAACCATTTTATATCATTATTTCTTCTGACACAGTAAACTGATAATTCGTTCCTAAGTTTTTGTAGCCAGTAGAATCTAGTAGAAAATTGGAAGAATTCCTTTATGTAAACTGAATAACTTTGATTAGTTTAGTTAATTTTGACTAGAATTTCTGGACTAACTTAAATTTTCAGTCACTAAGAGTTGATATATAGTGATTTTGAAAACGGCTTTAGAGATGGATAACAGTTTCTTAGAAGAAGCAGTATCCAGGAAACCTATTCAGTGCATCTCAATTAAGCGTTCCTAGGTCGGGGTGCTTAAGGAAAGGGCAGATGTGGAGTTCTGCTCTAGTTACGTTGTTAGGAGAGGGTCGGCCTTTCATTAACTACCTGCTAACCAGTGGAGACTCAGGAATTCAGGGATCTTGGGGTTCTCCTTTTTTCTCCAGAGTTATGTAGAATTTAAGCATATCGTCAGAATTAGGCAAAATATTTCAAGTTCAGCTGAATAAGGAGGAGAGCTGTTCTTGCTGCTTTTGTCTTGCACTACCTAGTTTCTACTGAGAAAAAGTCGTTTTATTTTGCTTTATTTTAATACTTAGTGGACAAATTTCCTGTGATCCACATTTGAAGTCAAGGTCAGGACTTCCAAGAAGCCCTACTTGAAAAAAAAAATTTTTTTTTTTCAGTGCTGTAGACCAAACCTGAGGCCTTTTAGACATATACCAGCAAAGTACTCTATCCGTGAGCTATACCCGTAAGTCCCCCCTTTTGTAATTAACCTGCATAAATGACATTTCAAGTTTGTATTTCTTGGCTTCATTTAAGTTTATCAAATAATATTTTAATGAGACACCAGAAATTTCATACTAACTGCCAGATTCCTCAATTTTAAGTACATCTTACCTTGATCAGTGGGAAAGTTGCAGACTTGCACCCATTCACTGTCTGGTGTTTCCAGGACAACTGGATTGCAAATCAGGATGACTTTAACCAGCTTCTGGCTGAACTGAGCTCTCACCATGGACAGGAGACAGCAGGTAGGAAACATTAACACCATGAGTCCTTGGATTTACAGGGGAGAAAAACCTCTCAATGTATAAAACCTTTCTATCAGATTTCTGCTTTCAAGTTTATCCATCCGGAAGTCAGTTGAGTGAAACAATTACAAATATTCTGTTCTGTTTACATTTTAATGGTGCATTTATTGAATGAAGCTTTAGCTGTCTACAAGTATATCCTCCACCCCCCCACACTTTAGAGTTTAAGAATGGCAAGATAAGCTGTGTGGGTAATCCTAGCCACTCAGGAGGCTGAGATATGAGGATCACGGTTTGAAACCAGCCCAGGCAGAAAAGTCCCTATGAGACTTTTATCTCTTAACTTTTCAAAAATTGGAAGTGGCATGGTGGCTTAAAGTGGTAGAGAGAGCTTTGAGCACAGAGAATCACAGGGACAGCTCCTAGGCTCTGATTTCAAGCCCCACAACTGATTAAAACAAATCAAAACAAAACAACAACAACAAAAAGAGAGAATGGCAAGATAGATCCATCTAGCTCATATCTCACATAATAAAGTTATCTTTACAGGAATGCAGAAGTATGACTGAAAAGGTATTTTAAAAATACAATTGGGAAATACCAAATGGGGCTATGTACAATAGCCAGCCCGTTCTATGTTGATTCTTCCCAGTGAAGTTTGTTTCAACTTGTAAGTGGTTCACATTGCTCAAGTGTAATCAGCTTCTCCACTTTGAACTGCTGGGTATATGTTATCTTTTCACCTCAGTCTCTCAAGTGGTTGGACCATGCCCTGAGCCCCAAGTCTATAATGGGCATTTTTCAAAAGAGGTTTCAGTGATCAGTAAATAAATGACAGGTACATTGCCACACTAGTCATCAGGAAGCCTGTGCCCACCATCCACCCCTGTGATTCTTTGAAACACATTGCCATTCCTGTCTCTTGGAAACGAATCTGTTCTCCATCTCCATGTTTGTGTCACATCCCTATTATAAATGAAGCTGTAGAGGATGTACTCTTTTTCACTAAGCAGATAGATGCATTGAGGTCCTTCCAGGTGTGGTGTCTGCCAGCTACTCAGTTCTCTTCATTGCAGAGAACTAGATAATACTGTCAGAGTGGGCCCAGCCAGTCACCCACCCTCTGAAGTGCACTTGGGTTACATTCATACTTTTCTGGTTATGAATAAGGCCAGTAATGTATATTCATGTTGAGGATGTTTTCATTTCCCCAAAGATTTTATGTCTGGAATGTGACCTCGCATGATTCATGATACAGTTTTAAAATTCTAGGCATTTGATGAGTTTATTAAATAATGGGCTCCTAAAAATCTTAGGTCTAACAACGTTTTGTGGTAACAGAATAAGTGAGAATGGATTAGATGCATTACATGGTTTAACATTACATGGTTTAATGCAATGTTTTTCCTCTTTTAAAAAGACTCTTCTGACCACAAGGAAAAGAAGTCTTTCAGCCTTGAGGAAAAGTCCAAAATCTCCAAAAACCGGGTCCATTATATGAAGTTTACAAAAGGTATGACCAACCATTTTTCATGTTGCTGAGGTCTGTATGTTTACACTGATGTGTTGAAGCCTTGTTGGCCATTAGCTGTAGTGACTCGTGTGCGCTCAGCAGCAGGTCTAAACAGACTGGGGCTGCGGCTGTGTGGTACTGGAGTCCTGGTGACTTCACTAATGTGCAGATGGGTCCAGGTGTGCAGAGAGGCACCCAGGTGACGTTTCAGACCAAACAGGTCCTGCGGCACAGCTGAAAATTAAAGTCAGAATGCTATTTAGAGGAGAAAAAGACATTATGTGGTTAGGTGAGAAAATAATTTTAATCTAGTGTTCACATTTTCTGGTTATACCTTCATGTTTTCCAGAGCTGAATGTTGGTATGTGACAATTTAGCTGATTTATAATAACACTCTCATTTCTCTGTTGATCTTAGAGGTAATGTTGGAAAACATGTCTAAGGGTTGGTTGGGCAATAGATCTGTCTTTGTTACCACCTCGCCAGGTTCCTTCCTACCTTTCCAGTAAGTGTAATTATTTGCAAATGCAGCTCTGTTCTTTAACCACTAGGTGGTGGCCCTGTTCTGGTGAGAAGCCATATAGCTTGGCTCGATGAATTCTCCAGATGTTTTCCCACAGGATGGCCACAAAGCTTATTTGTGACATTCTGTACTTAAAGTGTACTAGGCATGATGGTGAGGGTGCTGTGTTACCCAGTCACTGTCTGCCGGTTCTTTTCCAGAAGAAAAACCTGCCTCAGTAGGCAGGAAAGCGAATCCCTTTGCTTTAAAAGTCTTATTATTAGTCTTAATCCAATGACTGGGGAAGCTGGAACTCCCACCACCTGCCTGAATAGAGTAGAGATGGAATTCTGCCTATTTTAAACTGTTGTTGGCATTTCTAATTTGGGGCCAAGATCCCAAAAGATAGAACTGGGTTTGGTTTAAGTGAAAGGCCAATGCAGAGCTGATGGTATTCTGAAGCTGACTTGGAATTGGATGCATGGAGACTGGTCCTTTCTTCCACCTCCCACAAAGTGTGTTTTGCATGCATCTTCCCTATTATTCCCTTTTTCCCCCACACATGATCTGCTTTATTGTTAGTTTGCATGGCTTTTACCAATCTGCTGCAGCACAGAAAACAGGCTTGGTTGGCCTCTAGTCCTTTTGAAGAGAGAGTAATGGCATTCCTTTAATTCCCAATTCCTTTGACAGTCCTTATTTCTTTCTTAGATCCTACAGGAATAATAGAGACACAGCACAAGGATGCTGTTGCAGAGCGCACAAATGAAGTTGAAAGTGGATGGTATAGCAGCCGCTATGGCTTTTGATCTGATAGCAAAGGCTTGTAATTGTCCTTTAGTACCTGACTGCATGCTTGATTTCAGCTGAAACATTTGCTGAAGCTAGGACAAGCCTTACTAATCTGTTTAATCTACTGGATGCTGGCAGGATCTGCTTTCTATTCCTAGTTAAGCCACTCCTGTTCTGGGTGGCCCTGTCAAACTGTTTGGTGTGTGGTGCTTTCATTTTCTCTCTTACAATGAAGGCTACTTATTGAAGGGCAATTTCTTTGAGCTGGTGTTTTTACTGCATGTCAGTGGTAAATCCCGTGTTCCCTTTAGGAAACCTGTTTTAGGTCCAAATGGGCCTGACTTCTGGCCATTGCTGTCTCCCAGACAAGTCCTTGAACCATTTCCCTGCTTTCAGACTCAGTTTCCTCTTTTGTAAGTCACCCTGAATCTCTAAAGGAGGCTCTATTTTTAATTTGTGTGAGATGATCCTTTTGTGCAACTTAGGACTTTTTCAGCATTGTGCATAATAGACTTTCAGTGCTCTTGATGAAGGCTACTAACTGTGGTCTAGGAAATGAAAACAGGAGCATGAAGAAAACCTTACCCCAGCAGGACTACTATAAAACTTACTGACATCTAATTATGGACCATGTCATTTTAGTAATCATAATTTATGATTTTTATTTGAAATAATTAAATAATTTAAAGTTACTATCATCCATATTTGTTTAAGACCTAACTTCAGTATAGTTTCTTAAAGAAGTATTTGGTAAGCTCACATCTATAGAGAGGAAAAGTGTTTGTGAAGGCATTTTAAAAAAAAATCTATATAGTCCAGGAGAGCGCTGCTTTCCCTTTCTGAGTACCGTAGCTGGATGGTAGGTCACATACGCTGTGCTAGTCCTCTACATTTCATTGTGGTAATTTACACAGACTTGTGACAGCTAGTGATGTTTTATATGTAACTTAAGGAAACCATCTACCTGCACCAGGTGATTAACAGCATGGCTAGTTCCTGTTAGAGTTGACTGGTAGTGAAGAGCCTTGTTCCCTCTTCTGATTCTTTAGATTCTTTAAATACCAAGTAACACCATTTTAGGATTTTTAAAAAATACTGATTATTGCTGGTGCCAGTGACTTACACCTGTAATCCTAACTACTCAGCAGCCTGAGATCTGAGAATCTCAGTTCAGAGCCAGCCCAAACAGGAAAGTCCAGGAAACTCTTATGTCCAATTAACTACCAAAAAAGTGGGTCTGTGACTCAAGTGGTAGAGCAAAAAGCTCAGGGACTGTGCACAGGCCCTTAGTCCAAGTCCCAGGACTGGCACCAAAAAATAAAAAACAGATTCTTCCTGTTGGCAATTGGAATGTCAGTTATTCAGCCCTACTAGGGATCTTAAATCTAAAGATTCAAATATGGGTTTCTGATGTTCCCTTGTAGTGAAGTTGCCATCATCTTCTGCCCTGGCTTTCTATTCATCTCATGTGTTGCATGAAAATACACATACACATGCACCACCTACGCATGCACACACACACTTTTATTTATTCGTGCAGTGCTGGAGAGCAAGCCTAGGGATTTTGGCACACACTAGGTAAGCACTCTGCCACTGGGCCACAGCCTCGCTCTTCTTATTTATTTATTTATTTATGGTTGGTCGTGGGACTTGAACTCTGGGCCTCGGCGCTGCCTCTCAGTTCTTCAGCTCTACCACTTGAGCCACAGCACCACTTCTGGTTTTCTGCTGGTTTATTGGAGATAAGAGTCTCATGGGGACTTTTCTGCCTGGGTCATTTTGAACTGTGATCCTCAGATCTCAGCCTCCTGTGCAGCTAGGATTACAGGTGTGAGCCACTAGCACCCGGTCTCTTATTATTCTTGATTGAAGAATGCAAATGAACTTTAAACAATTGTATAAACCAAGATCCAACAGAGATACTTTCCAAACCTACATTTCTTTGCCTTGCCCCCTTTTTACTCTGAATAAACCACTTTTGTACACTGTTTTGGGAGGAGGGGAGTCAGTCAGTGTTCCTAGTCATGTTTACATATTACTTATTACATATTAGTCATGTTTACAAAATATTTCTTTGGGTTTCTTTCTTCCTGTAGATAAATAATGGTCTGGATTATATTAGATGATATACATTAAATTTATCTTACCATTTGGTAAATTTTCAGAAAGTAATCAGTTAATACCTTAAATTCCTTTGAATCATATTTGTTTTTGGTAATACTGAGGTTTGACCTTAGGGCCTTGTCTACATGTTTTTTGAGCCTCAATTATAATAGAATATTGTGATTCCTTTTATTGAATTACTGAGTTTAACTCAGTGGCTCCACATCATCAAACATTTGCTTTCTATGTGGACATCTTGGTATGACACATGTGTTTGAGTATAGCAGCAGTGTTCCTCCATCTGCCTTTCTGATTGTTGGGAAAACTTGATTACCATGATTATTAGATAAACAGCTAAAGCAGTGCTCTTCTGTGGAACTGCTTAGCCACATGTGGACTTTAGTATGGCATCTTGGCTACTGAAAGCTTTTCTTTCCAATTTTCAAGATGCTATAGCCAGTTGAAGACTAGTAAGGAAATGAGCCAAAACCAGATAGATAGCATCTATCTCTATTCAACATTGTTAGATGTCATTTTCTCAAAGATTGAAGTTTATCAATAGTATTTGTGGTGATTTGATGATAGTAAGCTTTCAAAGTTAATTTTTAATGTGTATTTTGTTCAGAAATGACCGTCATTTTATATTTTTAAACTATTCAACCAAGATTATGAATTAATAATGATCTCAAAGTCACTTCCATGTTCATGTTTTCATCCACCTTTTGTCCACTTCTGGTGGTCTCTAACTTTTACTTCTTCTCTTTGCTTTTGTTTTCCAGATCAGATCTAGAGCAAGGCTGTAACAATCCTGACATCTACAATTAATTTAGTGAACTTTGTGCTGGAGGATAGAAATGTCCAATATGTGAACCTATCACCCAATCTTCAGAAACATTTACACCTCCATTGGTCCAGCTTACTGTCTCTGTGGGCTTGGCATTCTTCCCTCTGAGTTTTAGATTTGTTCTTTGCCTGAGTGCATTAATATTTTACCTTCATGTCTTAGATTATGATGTCCCAACTGTCCTCCCTACTTGATCCTTATAGTTTTTTTAATTGAGCTGCTGTAAAAGAGTTCTTAATTTACATATCCTTTTAGAATGTCCCTTCTATTCCAAAGGATAGATTAGAGTAGCTGGCTAGTGCTCATTTTGAGCTAGATTTGATTTCCTTTTCTGAAACAGAAATTCATCCAGAATGTGCTTTGCAGCAGAAATGGCTTGTGCTGATGACAGCTGAGGGGTAGCTCTCCATACCTGATGAAAGTTGATCTACCTCTCGCAACCACCACCTCTTCCCCCATTCATGGTTCATTTCCTGGGTTCCTATTTATAATATGCTTTAATCTTTTTGTGCGTAGGCATTCCTTGGGTTCTTTTTTTGTAGTGGGTCTATTTAATTGTCAGTACCAGAAAGTCTAGTTTTGCTCAGATTGAAGGGAGGAGAGAGCATCCTGTTGTACCACAGTGGAGCCTTGCTTTTAGCAGGAGCAGGGCACGCTGACTGTGCCAGTTAACCTGGTAATACTGCCTTCAAATTGGTTCTGGGACCTGGTTAAGTTAAAGGCAGTTTTGTTTTTAATTTTATGGAGTCACTGACCAATATCATACTTGAATGCCCCAGTGATAATCAATGAACTAGAACCTTCTGGGTCATGACATTACTTTGCCAAGTCAGTTGGCTGCGGGAATATAAGAAGACTGATGGGGATGGTGAAATTTGGCTTCCAACTTAAAACTCATATTCCTGTGTTTGATCCACACTGCCCTCCCCAGGCTTGATATGCAGTGATTATATTTTTAAAATGTATTCACCATGGAATTGACAAATGGGGATGGATTTGGCTGGCTGCTTCTAGAACATTATTTGGTAGAAGTGGAAATTCCAAAGAAGTGAATTTTAAATTGATTGGTTTACAGCTTTGAAATTATGCTAGATTTTAGCTTTTTAAAAAGGATCCCAGATCCTTAGGACACTATTTTTACCAGACCTGTTTAGTTTCCTGCACTACCATTATAGTTCAGAACATTTTAAAAAGAAAAATTCAAGTTACTATTTGCATCTACTCCTTGAACTTTTTGCTCATTTGCTTAATATTATTGTGATCTTATTTATCAGTAATTATTGAGTGAATGAAAAATTTTAAATTCTAATAATATTTTTAATTCTGCATTTCAGTATCCCAAGTAAGTAGCAGTGTCTCTTAGAAGTGATTGAGATCTGTTTTTAAAACAGAGAACCCAGAAACTATAGATTTCCCTTGAAGGCACACCGTTGGTAGGGCAGGCTTTAAAATTCAGTCTGTCTTGCAGCTTGTATGCTCTAGATTGTTTCTGAAACAAGGAATAGTGGTGAGCAGTTCTAATTCTAAGACATTTATCATCATCTTCATCACAGAGTTGTAATGTGTGTTGCAGAACTGTTTATTTCTTGACCACAAACCATCTTCCCATTGCAATCTGCATGTTTATATATGTGCTTCTCGCATTGGAACAAATGGTCTTATTCAAAAGCATCATATTGGTTTTCTAGGGAAGGATCTGTCATCTCGGAGCAAAACAGACCTTGACTGCATTTTTGGGAAAAGACAGAGCAAGAAGACTGCTGAGGTATCTGGCCACATATGTAGAGATGTTGTTTTTGTGTTGCTTGTTTTCCCAGGATGTAGGATTGTTTATATCAGTTATTAGTAGAGCCCCTAGCCCCCATACATAAACTTTTAGAGGTTTCATATGAAGGCTGAGTCTTATCCTTGTAATAATAGCTGAGTTTTATAAGGATTCTTGTAAAAGGTATGTGCTATCTGTTTTTCTTTACCGGCACAAGGGTTAGATTAAAAAAAGCTTCCCTATTTGATTTTAGTGAGGACGTCAGTGTGTGGTGAGGAGTGGGAATCAGCAAGGTCAGGGCAACCCTGACTGGTAGCCATCCTGGGAGTGCTGCTCCATTGTCATCAGTGTGACTGAAGATTGGGTTTCTCAAATGGTCCTGTGCCTGAGTCTCCCTGGGAACTGCAGACTCTGGTTCAGAGGTCTGGACTCAGAAGCTGAATGTGATTCTGTGTGCTTCTCTGTGTTACTGGGCTAGGTCCCACACAGAGTAGGCTTTATACCCTCTGTGTATGCAGAAAACAGAATCTGTTTAACTTGAATCATGTGTGCAACACACATCAAAAACCTCCCTAAAGCAAAGTAACTTCTTTGATATGCCTGTGAATTTTCATAGAAGTTTGCTTTCATCTGTTAAGTTTCAAGTACACCTGTACTTTCTCTAAATACAGTGTTGCTAAGAGACTTGCTGTGTTATTTCTAACAGTCCACCCAGCCAAGGGTGAGAGGCCTTTGATCAGATTTGTTTGAAAATACTTCTTTTGGCTTCTCTCAGTTGGAAGAAATATTGCTGTGGTTTTCCTCTGTTGACCCCAGTAGCAATATTGGCTTGGATTTATGGTTGACATTGCCAAACATTGTAGCTAGAATTCATTGTATCTAAGAGGAAATTGATCAACTACATTCCAAAGTTGGACTTTTTCATCAGCTCCATACTACACATTGAACAGCTTAAAGACTTGTGTTGTTCCCAGTTCTGGGTCCCCAGCATGTGCCTGATTACGTGTGTGCCACATTGTAGAGGTCCGTTAAATTGACTTTCATTGTACTTCTCTGTTTTGAAAATTGATTTCATTGTTATACATCTCAAAAATCATGGTTTATACAGCTTCAGCGTTGATATTTGAAATATTACTTTGAAATGTTTTCATCAATAAATACCTCTTCTTTGTGAGGCAATATTCAGCCTCCTTTCCCCGCTCTATGCCAAGCACTTCTAGGATCCACAGTAGATTCTCCAGAGAGGGTTACAGAATGGGTGTTTGCTTATGCTATTTTATGTTTTAAGAAATCAGTCTGATTTGCAAGATCCTGGTTTTCTGACACTGAGTCTTGGGCTAGAAGTTTTCCATATTGTGTAGAAGTTGAAGCACTTGAGTCACTGTGGGGTCTCTGATCTGATTCTTGGTACTTCCAATTCCTTCAACTGCATAGCAGAGTTGGGCTACTCAGAAGTACTTGCCTGAAAACTTTTAACACCCTATGCTGTGCTGCAGTGGCTGTGTGCATCTCATTCCCTGTGCTTTTGAAATCTCACATGTCTTTATGCTATACAAATTGGAAAGCACTACTCTGGAGTGCACAAAATCAGAGCTATTTGTACCAAAGAAGGAGATGAAAGCCAAGTGCTGGTGGCTCATGCTTGTAATCCTAGCTACTCAGGAGGCTGAGATCTGAGAGTTGTGGTTTAAAGTCAGCCTGGGCAGGAAAGTCTATGAGACGCTTATCTCTGATAAAACTACCTAGAAAAAGCCAAAGTGGCACTGTGGCTTGAGTGGTAGAGCTAGATTTGAGCAAAAGAAGGGATATAGCATCTAGGCCTTGAGTTCAAGCCTCAGTACTGGGAAAAGAAAGAGAAGGGGATAAAGAAATGATCCAGTGTTGAATTAAAATTACTTGGGCTTTTTAAGAACCTGCAGGTTTTTGTCCTGGCCATTACCTGCCAGGAGTTATGCATCCAAGAGCAGTTTTGTGGTCATATACATGTGCATGTATGTGTGTGTATGCGTGTGTGTGTGTGTGTGTGTGTGTGTGTGTGTGTGTGTGTGTGTGTTAAGTGTTCATTTGGTTTATAGGCTGAAGTTAAAGATAATGAAAAACAAATTCCATTAGTTCCTATCTGGTTGAACTTCCTGATATTCCTGGTTTTTTTTTCCCTCCCCCCACTATCCCAGTTTCCTTCCTCTATCCAGCTTGTTTCCTGATTTGGCCTTATCACTAGAGAAAATATTCCTAAACCACATGGAGGATGGAGAATGTGTTACCAATAATCCTACTGTGTTTCTCTAAATAACAGGCAGGCCTGGGGCATATGCTCTTGGAAAGAGTTGTCAGTTTCTCTAACTCACAGATCTAATTGAATTAAAAACCTTGTCTGCTCTCCCAGTATACCCAGTTAATGATTGATTTCTTCTGGTGGTGTTTGCTTTTTGAATAGAAGCACAGCTCCTTTGCAGTTTGTTCCTTTCTTGTCTGTTATCACAAGATGTCTTTCTTTTCCTTTTTTTTTTAATTATTATTATTTAGTCTGAAAACTACTTCCAAGCAGACCTTTTTGTTCAGTTTGATTTGCGTGGTGTTTTGGCTCTGGTTGGATTCAGTGCCTTAAAATGCTTTACAGGGAAAATCCCTGTAAAATGAAGAATCTTTTTTTTTTTTTTTGAAGAACCTTTTCTTTTGGTTTTAGTTGAATTTTTATTTGAAATATCTTTGGATTAAATTCTATTTTTCCTTCCCTTCTAGATTTTTATACTAGAAAGCTATATGAGTAAGCTAGGTTGAGTGTTGTAAGTGCTTTGTTGCCTGTGTTCTGCCCACCTTATCCTGTCCCCACCACAAAGCTGGGCACAGTGTTTCTAAGGCAATGGCTTTCCCGGCCAGTTGATGTTAATCTTTTTTTTTTTGGCCAGTCCAGGGCTTGAACTCAGGACCTGGGCGCTGTCCCTGAGCTTCTTTAGCTCAAGGCAAACACTCTACCACTTGAGTCACAGCACCACTTCCAGCTTCAGTACCATGTAGTACTGAGGAATTGAACCCAGGGCTTCATGCATGTTAGGCAAGCACTCTACCACTAAGCCACCTTCCTAGCCTTGATGCTAATCTTTTAAAGAAGAGCCTTTTATTTAAATTAAGACCAAGCCTGTAAACAAGAAATAATGCACTTGAGTTTTAAAACTTCTTTTCCCCCCACAATACTTTATTAATTATTGCCTTCATTTGACCATGGATATAGGAATCAAGATTCAAAATATTCTTTCCAAGTTGGGACATTCAGCTAAAACTTCTGTACCTCTTTAAGGTGAAATAGTATGAAGATATGTGATGTGAAGCCCCATTTAATCCTGGGAAGATATGATTTGGTACCAGTTAAATAAGTTAGAAGATAGGATATGTAACCTGACCACTTTTTTTTTTTTTTTTTGGTCAGTTGTGGAGCTTGAAACTCTGGGCCTAGGTACTGTCCCTCAGCTCTTCAGCTCAAGGCGAGCACTCTACCATTTGAGCCATAGCACCATTTCCACTTCCAGTTTTCTGGTGGCTGGTTGGAGATAAGAGTCTCATGGACTTTGCTGCCTGGGCTGGCTTTGAACCACGATCCTCAAGATCTCAGCCTCCTGAGTACCTAGGATTACAGGCCTGAGCCACCTGTGCCCAGCTGCCTGACCACAAATTTAACCTAAACTGCAATTTGCCCATGTGAAAGCAACAGGACTTTTGATCATTTCCTGCCTGGAAGCTCTCTGGGCTGTTCTATTCAGGCCTAGGCACTAGTTTTTTAAAGGAGTATGTTCAGAGACATATTGTGGGACATAAGTTTCTAAAAAGCATGCTGTACATGCATGGCAGAATTGGGTATGTTTAGCAGACAAGCAGTGAGGAAAAGTAAGAGTCCCAGTGGATGAGAATTGGAGGAAGACTTCTGCTCAGAGAAAGGAAGCAGCCTGGGCCAGTGCAGCTGGCCCGTGAAAGGATGCACTTTGGCGTTGGCTTCCCGAAGAAACTCTTCTATAGAGAAGTAATGGGCTGATCTGAAGGCCTCAGCCCTAGCCCTCTGTTTCTGAAAAGGGAGTTGTGGAATCTCATGGGAAACAATGCTAATGAACCAGTTTTGCTTTGAAGTTTCAGGGTTTTCTAGGCTTCAAGGAAACATTACTCAAATTGTTGCCATTACTGAGGCTTGAATTTAAGGCATTGGCTCTGTCTTTGAGCTTTTTTGCTCAAGGCTAGCACTCTACCACTTGCACCACAGCCCCACTTCTAGCTAGGTTCTTCTTGATTCTCAAATAGTAGGCAATTTCATTTTGTTCTTTAGGCCAAAGAGAGGAATGTGAAAGGTCTTTGGTGTGTTGTTCAAATCAGAAATCTGAGGTCATCTGTTATAACAAATTCAAGATTTACACGAGTTATTTGCAAGACTGAATGTCAAGGAGGAAAGTCAAGGATGTTCCTACTTTATTTATAACTTGGTTTTCAAAGATGCCCTCAGTAAGACTCCCTGTTTTGTATGCTCCTCTAGATTGACTATGTCCACTTCTCAGTGGGAAGTGGCATACTGTTCACCGCTTCCTTCCCACACTTGAGTATGACTTGCTTGTAGTCCAGAGACAACTACTACCCCTAGTTTTAGAGCTACTATGGGACTTCTGAAGTTTTGTGAGATGAACACTTGCTCTTGAAACCTTGAGGTAAGTAGTCCAGTTGCCTTGATTCCCCCAGAACCCAGACTGACCCTGCTAAGAAACTCTGAGGTGTCCAGGTGTCAGGAGACCATATGAAGAGAGGGGTCCCCAGCCACCCCTTGCTCTGCCATGTGTTACCTTAAAGTGCATGGAGAGAATCTGACTCAGAGCTGCATGGCCAGGCCCTTCCTTGAACTGCTCACCTGTAGAAACAGGGCCAGACAGTGAAACTGGCTGTTTTAAGCCACTGAGTTTTCTATTCTTCCGTAAGAAGTATGATATACTGGTATTTAATTAACAGAAAGCACTGAAAACCTTAAA